ATATATATATAATATATATATTTATTATAAAGGAAATAAGCAGAAAAAGAAGAATAAAAGAATAAAAAAGAAGAAGAATAAATAAATAAATAAATAAATAAATAAATAAATAAATAAATAAATAAATAAACTTACAGATTAAGTATCATTTGTTGTACAGATTCAATACCTGCCCATATCCATTGATTAAATGTATAATTATTTCTGTGATTTGTTTGTAGATTTTCTTCTTTAATAAAGAAAAGCATAAAAAAAGTACCAATAAAAAAAAGAAGAGAATAAATAATACATAAATACATAAATCTTTCTCTTGTTTTCTCTATAGATGAACCCATTAATGAACCTAATACACCATGTAATAAACCACAAGATGTAGATCCTAATGTTATAACAGATACAGCTATTGCCTAATAAAAAAAAAAAGAAAAAAAAAAACAACATACACAATATATAAACCCTAAACCCTAAACCCTAAACCCTAAACCCTAGAAAAAAAAATATTCACAATAAACCCTAAATTAGACAAAATTCAGAAAAAAAAAAAGAAAATATACATCATATATAAACCCTATAATATATTATTATAAACCCTAAACCCTAGAAAGGACAGAGGGAAAAGAGAAGAAGAAAGAGCAAAGAAAAAGGAAAGAAACAGGAAAGGGAAAAGGTCTACGAGGAAGATAAACAGGCAGGGAAGGATAGAGAAAAAGAAAAAAGGAATAAAAAAAGAAAAAAGGGAATGATAAAAAGAGAGAAGAAAGAAAGAAAGAAAGAAAGAAAGAAAAAAGAGAAGAAAGAGATACTCATTAACATGAAGAAGATCTACAGGTAAACCAAACCCTAAACCCTAAACCCTAAACCCTAAACCCTAAACCGTAATAAACAGTATAAAAACGGCAAAAAATAAAGAAAAACGACGGTATAAACGGTTAAAAAAAAAGAAGAAATAAATAAATAAATATAAATAAATATAAATAAATAAATAAATATAAATATAAATAAATATAAATAAATAAATACCTGTAACTTAGTTCGTTCATCATAATCAAAAGTCATTTGTGCACCTAATGCTTGATAAGTAACTTCATTACATCCCCAAGAAATACCCAATAAAATACTAAATATAAATGCCCATTCTTTTAGTCCTTTTGTTGGTGTTAAGAAGGAAGGAGGACTCATTAATGCAATAAATGTTACTGTACAGACAAAAATACATATTTTTATATATTTATATATATACATAAACACAAACCCTAAACCCTAAACCCTAAACCCTAAACCCTAAACCCTAAACCCTAAACCCTAATCTGAGCGCATAAGTGCAAAAATCGCTAAAAATTGTTTCCTTCTTCCGTAGTGTTTCTACTCAACTCCCCCCACCCAAACCCTAAACCCTACAAAACCCTAAACCCTCTTAAACCCTAAACCCTGTTAAACCCTAACGTGAATGTACGAATGCAGATACAGCTAAGAAGGGTTTCCTTTTTCCGCAGTGTTTCTACCCAACTCCCCCCTCCCAAATCCTAAACCCTCTTAAACCCTCTTAAACCCTAAACCCTCTTAAACCCTAAACCCTAAACCCTAAACCCTAAACCCTAAACCCTAACCTGAATGTACGAATGCAGATACAGCTAAGAAGGGTTTCCTTCTTCCGCAATGTTGAACAATCCAACCATTAGTAACATCACTAACCCAACCAAATATTGGCTCAGATATTGCATACATACACATTAAGCATAATTGTACCCGTCCTACTACTCCTGTAAAAAAAAAGAAAAAAAAAGATATAATTATTTATATTTATTTATTTATATTTTTTTTATTTAAGGGCTTATTTTTTTTTTCTATCTACCTTTTTTTTTTGGTCTTTTTTTACATTTTTTTAAATTTTTTAGGGTTTAGGGTTTAGGGTTTTCTAGGGTTTAGGGTTTAGGGTTTAGGGTTAATGTATACCTGGTGGTAAACCCATAGTATCTGTATAGAAATAAGCAGCAAAAGTAGTAAGAGTAAAGTTCATACCTCCTGCTCCTATCATAGGAGCAGCATAAGCAAGAAGAAGAGACCAAGAAAGTTTTTTTGCTCTTTTTTTATACCCATCTATAATTAATCTTCCTCCTCCTGGATCTAATCCAGGGTCTGTATACAACATTATATATATATATAAACCCTAAACCCTAAACCCTAGATCCATATCACATATTGGATAGTCTACTTGACAGTCTGCTTATTATTAGGGTTTATAATTATTATTATTATTTTTATGAGGGTTTAGGGTTTATTAGGGTTTAGGGTTTATGAGGACTATTAGAGGTTTGTCATTGATTATCTTCTTAGTCATCATCATTAGGTTAGGGTTTATCAGTGCACATTAGGATTTATTTGGGTTAATTAGGGTTCAGGGTTTATTAGGGTTTAGGGTTTATTAGGGTTTAGGGTTTAGGGTTTAGGGTTTAGGGTTTACGAGGGCTGTCTGAGATTTGTGATTGATTATCTTCTGAGTCATCATCATCAGGTTTTCTTTGTTGCTCTTTTAATGATCTTTGTCTTCCTTCCTTCTCTAGACGAAGACTCGCCATCTTTTTAGGGTTTAGGGTTTAGGGTTTAGGGTTTAGGGTTTAGGGTTTAGGAGGGTCTATAATAAGGTTTGAGAAGAAGAGAGAGAGAAAAAGAGAGGAAATAAGGAAAGATATATCAATCAATATTCATCCCCTTTATATATTAATTTATATAATTATAATGTATATATACCCTATAAAGGGTTATTCTTCTTAATAAAAAAGAAGAAAAAAGAAGAAAAAAGAAGAAAAGAAAGAAAGAAGAAAAAAAGGAAGAAGAAAGAGATGATCAATAAGAGTATATATTTATTATAAGAGTTTAGGTGTATATACACCCTAGATTTATATTATATATTATAATAATAACTCATTTGTTTCTGCAGCAACTGCAACAAATGCAACAAATGCAACAAATGCAGCAAATGCAGCAGCAGCAGCAACAGCAGCAGCAGCAGCAGAAACAGAAACAGAATCTGCACAGCAGCAACAGGAGCAGCAAGTATGGCACCCCTGGGCTGTGTAAGTTAAATAAGAATAAATATATTCTTATTTAATAATAATATAAATATAAATAAATAAATAAATAAAGAAGAATAAGAAGAAAAGCAAAGAAAAAAGAAAAAAGATGAATAAGAAGAATCTGTACAGAGGGCCGGCTAGTTGTGCGGTGTATATAGTATAATGATGAAGGTATTTTTAGGTAAAATAACCACTTTTTTCATTAAATTTATGCTTTTTATATAATATAATTCATAATTTAACTTAATTAATCATTATTATTCAAAGATTATGCAAAAAAAAACCCTAAATTACCCCCGATCTTCATGATTCATGATTCAATGAATCATGACTCTCTTTTCTTCTAGGTGTATGTACACCTGGGGCTGCTTTATAAGGTCCATTTCGATTTTTTTTTTCCTCTTTTATTCAATTAAATAATTATTTTTTCCTTTTTATTTTATTTTATTCAAATTATAATTAAAAAATGCTATAAAATGATACCAGTAAATGTACATTTCTTCTCTCTTCCCTCCTCTTTTATTCCTACTTATATAAGCAGCTATATATACGCACACATATAAGAAAGCATCTTCTTTTTATCGATTTTCTTTCCTTTTTTTATTTATTTTATTTTATTTATTTATTTATTTCTTTAATTTCTTTAATTTAAATATATTTATTAATTCATATTTCTTCTTTATCCTCTATTTTATACCTTTTCTATTTCTATATACTTTTTCTGGTTGTACGTACACCCGAACCGCTCCGGTCCGGTTAGTTGACCATTCATCAATAAAAATACTTTTTTTTATTCTTTTTATTCCTTAATTGTATTTTTATTGCTTTTAATCATTTTATATATATTTTTTATTCATTTAAGGCTTTTTTTAGTGGTAAGTTAGTGGATATTGCTGTGTGTACGTACACCCCCGTGGCTGGCTATAAAGAAGAAAGCTAAACCCTAAACCCTAAACCCTAAACCCTAAACCTCCTATAGGCACCATATATATACCCTAAGAGTATTTATTTGTTTCCTTTTATAAGATAAGGAGAGTTTTCTTGTTTTTGTTTGTTTATTTATATATTAGCAACGATCTTCCTTAGAGGCATATAGTTATTATTTATTGATAGTTCCTCGATTTGTACCCAAACCCTAAACCCTAAACCCTAAACCCTAATTGCCTGTGTAGTATAGTATAAGTCCTTCAAATACAAAAGGGTTTAGGGTTTAGTTAGTTAGGGGTTATTAAATTATATAAACAAGAAAATGTTGCTGCAGTAATGCTCGGGTGTACGTACACCTCATATAGACAGCACTAAGGTAAATATACATTTATTTATTTATTTACTTATTTATTTATTTATTTATTTATTTATTTTTCTTTAAATAAATTAATAAATACACAAGAAATAAACAAATAAAATATATTTTATTGTTAATAAGGACATATTAGTCATCAATAAATGTCTCTCCTTGTCTACGCATGCATGCATGCATGCATGCATGAATTTCATTAGCGAATGCATGCATGCATGCATGCAATAAGTAAATGCATGTATATATGTATATTATGTATATATATACACGCATAGCCTTTGGGGCTTTTTGTTCCTTTTTTAGTAAACACCTGAGGGTTTAGGGTTTAGGGTTTAGGGTTTAGGGTTTAAACAAAAAATAATAATAATAATACAAATAAAATAAATAAATAAATAAAAAAAAAGAAAGAATAAATAAATAATATAATTAATGAATAAGGAAATGAATAGGTATTCTCTCCGGGTGTACAGACAGCTCATTAATAATTATTTTTTCTTCTTTTTTTTTTATTAATAATAAAAGAGAATTAGCTGTACAATCTGTTGATCCTTTACTAAGAAGATCATATAAATTATATTTCTTTTCTTCTTCTTTTTCTTCTTTTTCTTCTTTTATTCCTTTTATTCCTTTTTCTTCTTTTTCTTCTTTTTCTTCTTTTTCTTTTATTTCTTTACTTAACGATTTATACCAAACATAACTCGAAAAACACCTGCAAAAGGCACACACAAACCCTAAACCCTAAACCCTAAACCCTAAACCCTAAGCCGTAAACCCTCGAGAAGCTCGCCCGCTGCTCCTTCCAGTAAGCTGGGCGATGTTCAGCAGCACTCCCTCTACACGTCAGGGTTTAGGGTTTAGTGTTTAGTGTCTAGGGTTTAGTTAGGGTTTAGACTATAGGAATTAGGGTTTAGGGTTTAGGGTTTAGGGTTTACCTGCAAAATAGATAACAATAATAATTAGCACCATAATGTACAAGATGCTCAAAAGAAAGAAAGGAGGGTTTCTTAATTAATTGATAAAAAGGAGAAGAAGAAATATAATTATTTATTTTTCCTAATATAATTCTTTTATTAAATAAGCTGTCTATACACCCCAATAATTGCTGCAACTCCTGCTGCTGCCGCTCCTTGTTGCTGCACATGCTACCGTCAGGAAGCAGTAAACCCTCGCTAGGTATGTAGCTATAAAATGCCTGCATGCATAGACAAACCCTAAACCCTAAACCCTCACTAAACCCGTCCGAGCAGCTTACAGGCCCCCCAACAAAGGGTTTAGGGTTTAGGGTTTCTCTCTACACCATCATTGTTGGGAGCTGCTCCCTAGGGTTTCTCCAAACTACGACTGATCCTAGTTTAGGAGGGTTTAGGGTTTAGGGTTTAGGGTTTAGGGTTTACGCGATCAAGGAGAGCGAGCTGTAATTGATGTGCTGTATGAAAACCCTCAAATGCCTTATGATGATCTTCATGATTATTATTTATATTATTTATTTTATTTATATTATTTATTTTATTTATATAATTATAATTATTATTATTATTATTATTTTGTTTAAATATAAAAGGAACAAAACATTCAAATAAATGCGAAGGAAACTCCGCAAAATCAACCGCGCCGCGCGTGCCTGCGGTGTACATACACCCCACTAAACCCTAAACCCTAAACCCTAAACCCTAAACCCTGGTAAATGTCATTAATATGCCGTATGTACACACATAAGGAGTAAAACGAACTTCTCCTGCGGCGTGTCTAGCGTATGCTGCAGTTGAGCTTTTTTTTTCTTTGCAGGAGCAAGGGTTTAGGGTTTAGGGTTTAGGGTTTAGGGTTTACCTGATAAATGTTGTAATTCTGTTTGTGATAAAAGTCCATGAATAACATGACCTAATTCATGTAATAAATGAATACTTTCTTCTTTTGTTAATAAACAATCTTTTAATAAAGAATAAGCATCATTTATATCCCCTAATATGCACACACCCACACACAAACCCTAAACCCTAAACCCTAAACCCTAAACCCTTAGTATATAGAGTCGAGAGATGACAGAGAAAGAGAGAAAGCAAACACTTGCAACACCCCAACATAACCACCTAACAAACCCTAAACCCTAAACCCTACATATGTCTGCAACTGAATAAGAGAAATATAAACCCCAAACCCTAAACCCTAAACCCTAAACCCTAAACCCTACCTTTCTCCATGTTATGTATACGAGAGGGAGGATCAAAGTTAGCAATTAATGCACAAGCAGGGGTTTGTCGTAAAACCCCTTCTTCCTCAACAACGCATGCACGAGTAAGGGGGCCCCCTATCTCCCATCCCTGAACAAAACCCTAAACCCTAAACCCTAAACCCTAAACAGCCCATCTCTCTCCCCATTCCCCCCCCCAAACCGTAACTGCTGTTATCCCTAAACCCTAAACAATAAACCCTCTCCCTCTCTCTCTCTCGCTGCCCTTTCGCCCAAACCCTAACCACCTATAAACCCTAAACCCTAAACCCTAAACCCTTTCTCCGCCTACCTGTTGTAAGGGATAATTCATTTGTTTAGACCCTCTAATTGTATATTGAGCTAATAATCGTGTCTTATCCTTCCTTGTCCATAAATCAACATATAAATCCCCTCGGGGGGCCCCCCGGGGCCCCTGGGGGGCCCCCGCCCGTACCCTTCCTATTGGATGTAGCTCGTACTTTAATACACTCCAGTGCCAGGTCTCCCCTGCAACAAACCCTAAACCCTAAACCCTAAACCCTAAACCCTAAACCCTCGAGTTTGCATCCTTAATTCTGTGCCTCTTGCAGTTTAGCTCCAGTTAAACTTTGGTGCACAACAGCGGTACACTGATAACCTAAACCCTAAACCCTAAACCCTAAACCCTAAACCCTAAACCCTAGCATACCTGGTAGAGGAGGGACAGGAACTAACGTGAATCCCGTCAACTTCTCCACCATATTGACCGCCTTTTGCCAAATTGAATCTAGAGATAGCCGTAAGGGTTTAGTAGACCTGCAGACAAACCCTAAACCCTAAACCCTAAACCCTAAACCCTAAACCCTAGAAATTTGGTAGAGCGGTACAGGAAATATTAAGGGTTTGTTTTAATCGACGATTCTTGTGGAGAGGGTTTA